AGAATGGTAACCACCTGACAGAGGTGTGATGACTAACATATTATAATATATGTATTATTTAATACATACACTATATTGCCGAAAGTATTGGGACACCCCCCAAATCAATAGATTCAGGTGTTCCAATCACCTCCATGGCCACAGGTGTATAAAATCAAGCACCTAGGCATGCAGACTTCTTCTACAAACATTTGTAAAAGAATGGGTCGCTCTCAGGGGCTCAGTGAATTCAAGCGTGGTACCGTGATAGGTTGCCGCCTGTGCAATAAGTCCATCCATGAAATTTCCTTGCTACTAAATATTCCACAGTCAACTGTTAGTGGTATTCTAACAAAGTGGAACCAACTGGGAACAACAGCAACTCAGCTATGAAGTGGTAGGCCAAGTAAAATGACAGAACGGGCTCAGTGCATGCTGCAACGCACAGTGTGCAGAAGTCACCAACTGCCTGCAGAGACAATAGCTAAAGACCTCCAAACTTCATGTAGCCTGCAGATTAGCGCAACAACAGCGTGTAGAGAGCTTCATGGAATGGGTTGCCATGACCGAGCAGCTGCATCGAAGCCTTACATCACCAAGTGCAATGCAAAGTGTCAGATGTAGTGGTGTAAAGCACGCTGCCACTGAACTCTAGAGCAGTGGAGACTTGTTCTCTGGAGTGATGAATCACGCTTCTCTGTCTGGCAATCCGATGGACATGTATGAGTTTGGCGGTTGCCAGGAGAACAGTATTTGCCTCACTGCATTGTGCCAAGTGTAAAGTTTAGTGGAGGAGGGATTATGGTGTGGGGTTGTTTTATATGGGTTGGGCTTGGACCCCTAGTTCCATTGAAGGAAACTCTTAAGGCGTCAGGATACCAAAACATTTTGGACAATTTCAAGCTCCCAACTTTGTGGGAAAAGTTTGGGGATGGCCCTTCCTGTTCCAACATGACTGCGCACCAGTGCACAAAGCAAAGTCCAAGCAGAGATGGATGAGCGAATTTGGGATGGAGGAACTTGACTGGCCCGCAGTCCTGACCTTAAACCGATAGAACACCTTTTGGATGAATTAGAGCGGAGACTGCGGGCCAGGCCTTCTCATCTGACATCAGTGCCTGAGCTCACAAATGTGCTTCTGGAACAATGGTCAAACATCCCCATAGACACACTCCTAAACCTTGTGGACAGCCTTCCCAGAAGAGTTGAAGCTGTTATAAATGAAAAGGGTGGGCCAACTCAATATTGAACCCTACGAAATAAGACTGGGATGCCATTAAAGTTCATGCGTTTGTAAAGGCAGGCGTCCTAATACTTTTGGCAATCTAGTGTATTATAATGTATATAACTACCACAGTTATTGAAATATTATTCATTCATCCCAAAGCATGGTCCTGGCCAAACTAACTAAAAATACCAAACTTTGGTTTGGACAATTGAAAAAAAAGTCTATAAAGTCACCAAAAATTGGTATCTCCCTGCTATCCTAAACATGGTATACATTCAGCTCTCTTTAACAGACATATAGACCCTTCATTCCCAATCAGAAGGTAGCAGCATTTTAAGGCACGAAAACCCTTGTGCCTTGTGAGTTTAGTTTTACTTACAGAAAACCTTAAGGGTTCGTTTACATGTGCTGTCATCATTTGACAGGTGGCTTGGAGGCGATATGTTGCCACTTCACCGCATGTGTTAACCACTGGAAGCCCCTCTGTACCACGCCACAACCGCGTGTTGCAGACTGGTTGTGGCATGACCTCATACACTTGAACAAGTTGCGTTCAGAGGCAGTATTGGCTGCTGAATGTGACCTTTGGTATAGATTTCGTCACACCGTAACCACTGCTGTGTGTACCAACATGGCCACTGACCATGTTAACTTGCATTTGGGGCAATTGAGTGGTGGTAAAACTGTGGCTTAACTGTTGTTTTTAATGACCCTTGCCTGCATGTGTAACCAAGGTCTTAAACCTATAATGATGTGGATGTGGTAAGTGGAGCTGACCTGTTTCATAAGACCTTCAATTAACTGAAAAAGAAATGTGTATTGTAAAGGTTATCACTGTTGCCCAGTACTGAATGCTCCACACAAACCCTGCTTTTGTGAACTGACACTTTTATTGGCTGGATTGTCCTTTAAGAAAAGATGTCTAAGAAAGAAGTATGTCACCAGCGCACCAAGGATCGTCAGAATGGGCCCAAAGCAGAATTCTTTGATCACAACATGGGTACAATAGCTATTGACATACTTCTTGCCTTGAATGTCTTCAGTTTCCAGCCAGTTGGTCACTGCAGCACCCATTTACATTTACAGCCAACTGCAGAAATGTGTGTATTTGGAATATCTAATTGGGCTTATATTTATGCATGACCTAAAGTTTTATATTGTCATATCAAAAAGGGGGCATTCAGAATGGCCTAATAATCACAAGCTCTTAATGAAGCATCTGCTTTTTTGTGATCACAAGGTGTCCATCAGCCTTTGATGATGCTGTACCCTTTTCTATTAATGGCTACCCATATATATATATATATATATACATACTGTATATATATTACACTGCATGTTGAAATATGTTTTTTATATAGTACAAAATATTAGTAAAAATATATTTTTTTAAAATATATTCTTCAGATTTTTGTTTACATATAAAAAAGTAATTTTAACATATATTTTTACATATATTTGTAAATGCATTCCAAAAATGTAGATTTTTATTTTTAAAGACATACAGTACATTTGAAAATGTATTTTTAAAAATATTTTTCATATATTTCATAATAAAAATGCATTTCAACATATAGTGTTTATTATTTATATATATATATATATATATATTTTTTTTTTTTTAAATATATTGAATATGGCCAAACTTGTAGTATTTCAAATATATGTCGATATATTTTGGAAGAATATTTTTAAAATATATTTCAAATATATTTTTCTTCCATTTAGGCAGTCAGTGCCTGTGTTTGCTCATCCCAACATATACAGATAGCTTATCTACAGACATCATTGACTTGGAAAGAAAAAAATCTATAGATACATATATATTATTATTATTATTATTATTATTACATCGAGTTTATATAGCGCCAAAGGGTTTGCTCAGCGCTGTACAATAGGGGGGACAATACATGGCACAGTACAACAAAAACAGACAGCGTACGAGGGGTAAGAGGGCCCTACTCTTTCAAGCTTACAATCTAGGATATATACATTTGTTAGCCAAGCCATAATGCTAAAATGTGTCCATGATTTTGTGAAGAATACAGAGCTAGCAGGGTCAGTGAAAGTGACACATCAAGAGAGAAAGTGGCAGCCACAGGGTGTGGACGACATGGGTGAGAAGCATGCAAGCTGCTAACAGGGTCATTATGGAATTATTGAGCTGGCAGCTGTTAACAAGATTGTGTCTGCTGTAATCAGGGAGGAGATACCTGTCAGACAAGATATTTATAATAGGATGACTAAAGCTTGAAAAAGCTACTGGATGACTGTATGTATAATAGGGCCTAATGCACATAATAAACATCACTGCATTATCTTTGAAACTTTCTAATATATTTATTGTCAAGTCTTTTTTCTTCAAACCCATTAATAATATGTTACCCCAGGCTCTCCTGGGCAATATATATAAGTTGCATAGCAGGTCCATGCCTGACTCCTGTATATATATTAATTTCTAACCCACTGTATAATAATACATGACCACTTCTTCCTCTCTATAATTGTTTGTTACTTTCTGTTCTTTTTTAGATTGTAAAACTTAAAACATGTACTTCTTATTATCATTATTAAGGTTGCTATGTTCTATATATTTTTGACAGTGTATGCATATTTTCCTATACCCTTCTGTATGGGGAATGATGGCAATAATATGGTAAATGACTATAAGTATCACTTGATTAAAGAAAAGAGACAATGATTGTGCAATTAATTCAAAACATAGTCAGTCCTTAAAATATATTTTGCTTCTAGTCATAGGCGGACTGACCATTCAAGCACTCGGGCACTGCCCGAGGGCCCGGGGTCAGTAGGGGGCCCCATGAAATGCCCCTGGTACCTTTTTATAGGCTTTTTTTGAGTGTGGGCAAGGACATAGGGGCCCCATGATCCCCTATTGCCCGGGGGCCCCTGCTTCTAGTACTTTCAAACAAGCAATTTTTATGGATTAAAATCTATAGCGTGGTTGAAAGTAATTTCAGTGTGATGAGCATTTTCTATAGTCTGAGAGCCTAAAGTAAGTGAAATCAACTTTATGACATGCAGTCCACTAAGGCTAGGTTCACATCTGTGCGAGTGGTGCCGCTGTGGATCCGCATGAAAATCTGTGCAACCACACCACCCACACAAATGCGGATCCGTGGGCCGGTGCCATTAGTTCTAATGGCACGCCGTCCGCACTGGAAAACGCAACCGTACTGGGCTACGCTTTCGGAAGAAGTCCATTCAAATGAATGAGCTAAGACAGCACAACTGTTTATAATGTAGCTATTATTGTGAGAAATAACCAATATCACTCTGAAAAACTACATATAAACAGTTTCTAAAGGCAGGAATAATGGTCACTGAAATTATTTAGAGCCCTAAAGGCATAAACAACAGTTGAATATCAGATCTTTGTTTAAATGACAAATGGTATGTTAAAGTTACTAATGAAAATTAATATAATGGCATGTGTAGTCTATAATGCTTAGATATCTGCTATTTAAATATAATGTGGGAGATAAGACAGGCCCATTAATAGTTAGGGATAGTCAGGGGGTTAAATAGAATTTAGGTTGACAAAGACACAGCAGGACAGGAGGAGATAGTGTTAATGAGCTATTGTCAGTAGAAACAGCTGAGTGTTGGATTATTCACTAGCTAATCCGATTCTCTTTCTACCTCGGACTCTCTCTGCTCCCTTGTCCTACGCGGAAAACCTTTGGGTCTCTCTCTCTCACCGCCAAAATCCCACCCCTTTGGGGTTAACAAAGGGGTTATTAGATCCCCTAACCCTGCCTCCCCCATCAAGATGGTTCTCTTCAAGACTAAATTTACTTTTCAAAAGCGGGTAAAACTTGCTCAAACGCTATGGCTCCTCTCATGGGTCAGTGTCCTAGTGGGATGCCTGACCTTTGGCTTGGGGATCTTCCTAAAGGTTCAACTATGGATACACAATGAAGTGATGGACAACACTGTGGCTCATGCTGTTCCTAACACCGTGATTACTGCTGGACTTGTGGGAGTCCTGCTTGGTGTGTTTGCAAGCAAAATCAGTCAGGACTCTCTTGATATGGTCAAATATCCTCGCTGGAAGTCTTTGATGCTCCCTTATTTTTTCTTTTCCATTCTGAGTTGTCTGCTCTGCCTGACTGCTCTTTTCCTCAGTATTGTAATGAGAGGAAGTCTGGAGGAATCCTTGAAGGTTGGCTTGAGGAATGGCATTAGGTTCTACAAAGATACTGACACTCCAGGTCGATGTTACCAGAAAAGAACCATGGACAAATTGCAAATGGACTTCCAGTGCTGTGGGAACAACCACTACAAAGATTGGTTTGAGGTTCAATGGATCAGCAATCGCTACCTGGACTTCTCCTCCAAGGAAGTAAAAGAGTGAGTTTTTTTACAATTAGATCTAGATCTAATCTCTAGAAGAAATGAGTATAAAATATTCATGGCAATTCTAATACAGACAGCCAGGTTTCATGGTATACCCATGCCAGTGGAACCTGTAACAATTTTGATTATAAAATTAGACTTGTCTAGCATCTGGATTGGTAGGCTAATATAAACTGCAAGCTCCAACTTATTTATTGTGTCCCCCAGTAAGAAGGAAAGGTGAACCACTGCATAACCTATGACTCTTTAAATGGAATAATGAAGAAGGAATTTGCTGTCTGTGACAGCTCAGGTGATGATCCATTTAACTTCCACTAGACATCATTATTGCTACTTATTAGCTAAATGTGTCACAATGCAGCACCCATGTTAATGTCTGGATGTCACTGCACTAGCCCAGACATTTTCAACACTGATTCACAAATTGGGAAATAAAGTGTTATTCTTAACCCAAAAACAAAACGTAATATATTGCAATTTAACTTATTTATCTGCTGTGGCTACATTCATTAATTTTTTCAAAATATTTCTCCCTTTATTTTCACCTGATAATCCTGCCAGTAACCTGCTTCCTCTCCTAGCATGACAACACTCACCCACCACACTGTATCTATGAAGGAGCAACAATGTTACCCTAGGCTGCTTTCCTGATTTGGACTACAACAACCTCCCCCTTTTCTCATCTCCAATACATAGGGAGGAGGTGTTCCATACCTAAAAGAAAATAGCTGGGAAAGTGGGTAGCATTGTTTGAGGTATCAGTTCAGAATTCTGGCAAGATCAACAGGTTATTTTTTTTTCTTTACCTTTACAAAATGTACTTGGCCTGAAAAAAAAGAAAACCAATTATCCCATCAAATTTAATAACTGCTAAGGTACAACATATTACCTTTTTGTTCTTGGATCAAAATATCCTTTAAGCTTGCAGTCAAGGAAAAGCACACTAGTCCAGTCATCCACTTCTTTTAACTGAAAAAAACAATTATATTTTTGACTACATTGTATACATATTTGAGTTACTGGTCCATATACATAATCTCCTATACCTGATTACACTATATATAAAACTTCGAAAAACCAAAGATTTTGGGGGGTTGATTTACTAAAACTGGAGAGTGATAAATCTGGTGCAGTTCTGCCAGGGCTAGATTTACCTCTCAGGAGCCGCTGTAGTGCAGCTGTATCACTTCACTGCCTCTTGTAAGGGACCTGCAGCCGGAAATAGAGCGGGTGCATTGGAAAATGTGTCTGGTTCCCCTCTTGCCTGCTTACCCCTCAGACCTCAGCTAAAGTCCTTGTCTGCACTTACTTCTCACACAGATTTTACAAAAAACATCCTCCCATTCGCAGCAGAGCCACTGCCGCCGCCTGCACTGCTGTATATTTAGCAGAGATGCCAGACCGAGTTCTAGCATTTCTGCTAGAAGAAATTCCAACGCATGGGGGGGTGATTAGGGCACCTCCCTTGGAAGGGCACCTATTGGCACATGCCTACAATGCCTATTGATTGGGAAATCTGGCTGTGAGCTCTGCATAGAAACCAATCAGCTTCCAGGTTTTTTGTCAATGCCTAACCTCCTTGGCGGTATTCCCAAGTGTAGCTCGGGGTAAAATGTCAGTACCAAAAGCGGTAACCCCGAGCTACACTCGGGCTTACCATGCGGCGATACACAGGGATTCCCTACAGCGCTTACCTTGTCCTTCGCTCCCGCGATGCGTCCCCTGCAGCGTCCCCAGCCATCTCTTCCGGCCGATGCCGGCATCTGGCTTCCGAGTTCCGGTCCCCGTGACGTCGGGACGTATGGGCGCAAATTTGAAAATTTTAAAAAAATGACATTTTTTTTAAAACGATCATTTCATAGCAAAACATTCCTGTATCAAAGTATTTCACACACATTTTGTCCCTACTGCTTTGTCCTGTGCCCTGCCTGCATTTTGACTGTTCTTTCTGCCTGGAAACTTAGAAAAGTCCACGGCGTCCAAAAAGCGTCCCTTTAGGTCAAAATCGGTTTTAGACCGGCTAGAGAACAGCGATAGTAAATCAGAACTACTTGCAGAATTGAGTGATAATAATTCATGGGGGAAATTCGTCAGACACTGAAAACGATTTTGCGACTTTGCTCAGTGATGTGCGAACTCGGCGCTATATTTCAAATGTCAGTGTTTTTGATTTGATTATATTATTGAATTAAATGTATTATTATTATATTATTATTTTTTATGAGTATTTATTAAGTAAGAAATTACTAAGAATTGCAGGCCTACAATACATAACACCAAATTTCCATGCAAAAAAATGGTACCGCTTTTGGTACAAAATTCCTGACATAATCATACCGCCAAGGAGGTTAATTGAACAAGCTGACTGGCTACCAATCACAGCTGCCCCAGACTTTGCATTCTCCAGTTTTAGTAAATCAGCGCCAAGGTGTTAGGAGAAAGGCATCACAGATGTAAATTCAGCCCCTCTGATAAGAAAATCAGTAGGAAAAACAAACATTGTTGCTTGCATGCTCCATAATGGTCTTACTGCCTATGTTACTGAATTTGTAAATGAGGAAGTAGAAAGTAGTTATTCTTACCGCCTGGCAAAGTTCACATATTGTGCAATGTGACATTTACTGGCGGTTACTATAGTAACTATAGCAAAACTAGTGTGTACTTCTTTGATGTTTTACACTCTTTCCCGTCTGTAATGTTTTCTTTGATGCCCTACTTTTCAGTAATTCCTATTATTCTTTTATCTGCAGTCGTATAAAAAGCAATGTGGATGGTAGATACCTAATGGACAGTGTTCCATTCAGCTGCTGTAACCCCAGCTCTCCTAGGCCTTGCATCCAGAACCAGATCACCAATAACTCAGCCCATTACAGCTACAACTACCAGACAGATGAGCTAAACATCTGGGTCAGAGGCTGCCGGGAGGCCTTACTGAGTTACTACACTGGAATTATGGCCACAAATGGCGCGGCTGTCACTTTGTTCTTCCTTCTACAGGTGAGAAAACCAGATATTGTTTTGCTACTGTTAGACTTTACACTCACCGGCCACTTTATTAGGTACACCTGTTTAATTGCTTGATAACACAAATTGCTAATCGGTCAATCGCATGACAACAACTCAATGCATTTAGGCATGTAGACGTGGTGAAGACGACTGAAGTTCAAACATTGGAAGCATTGGAATAGGAAAGAAAGGAGATTTAAGTGACTTTGAATGTGGAATGGTTGTTGGTGCCAGACAGGCTGGTCTGAGTATTTCAAAAACTGATCTACTGGAATTTTCAAGCACATCTCTAGGGTTTACAGAGAAAAAGAGAAAATATCCAGTGAGTGACAGTTGTGTGGACAAAAATGCCTTGTTGATTTCAGAGGTCAAAGGAGAATGGGCAGACTGGTTGCTGTGCCATTCAGATGGTAGGGCTTGTGTTAACGGTTCAGGCTGGTGGTGGTGTAATAGTGTGGGGGATATTTACTTGGCACTAGCAAGGTGTGCCTAATAAAGTGGCCGATGAGTGTATATTTGAAGGAAACTTCCTTCTTTTTCAGTATAAATTACCTGCCTAAGAAAAAGTGCTGGCTAATACTTTTTATTAGCCTCATTGGCCTTTTCATGTATTCCTATGGCCCTAGGTACATTCCACTACTAAGGAGTTGGCTTCTCCAACTTCAGTGCCTAAGCCCCACCACTGGAGCTGTCTTCATGCCGCTCCGCTCTCCAGCTAGAGTGCTCTAATTGATCTCTCTGATACTGTAATTGGAGGATGTTAGGGCAGGCAGGTGAACCTAGCACCAGGAGGCAGGGCTTAGCCCAAAAATCATAGAATTTAATTAGCCTTTAATAGCAGGGAGCACCCTGGATGTAAGAAGGAAATAATGGTAACAACAATTGGGGCAGCACAGTGGCTAAATGGTTAGCACTTCTGCCTGGCAGTACTAGGGTCGTTGGTTCGAATCCCAGCCATGGCACCACCTGCCTGGAGTTTGCATGTTCTCCCTGTGCCTGCATGGGTTTCCTCTGGGTACTCCAGTTTCCTCCCACACTCCAAAGACATGCTGGTAGGTTAATTGAATCCTGTCTAAATTGGCCCTAGTATGTGTATGTATGAATGAAAGTTAGGGACTTTAGATTGTACACCCCTTGAGGGTTGGGGACTGATGTGAATGTATAATATATATATATGTAAAGCGCTGCGTAAATTGACGGTGCTATATAAGTACCTGAAATAAATAAATAAGTAGTTAACCTTATAGGTTTGCTTTAAAGGAGAATCATGGGGTATAAAAAAAGAAACCTCCATAATCACACCATGCTGCAGCATCCATGTCACACTGGAGATGTCTCATACCAGCTCTAAGACAGAGAGCTGACAGATCACATGACCACTAATCTGGTCAGCAGAGAACAGTAACTGTCAGTCAGTGCACCCCGCTATGTTCCTCAAGCACTCACAGGAAAACAAGGATGGGAAGGGGGTGGGCATGTCTGGTTTCAGCTCTCAGCCACATGCAAAAGGAAGAGCCAGCTGTCATATAAACTAATTTGGCATAGCTCTGTGCCATCAAGTGGGCAGTTTCTAAAAATGTTCCTTAAAAATGTCTTGCTTCGGTGTATGAGCCCAGCTGTTTGTGAGTTATATGACAATAGTCAGAGTGAGACTGCCATTGGGCTTTAATTGTTACAAGGCTTCATATTTTACTTATAAAGATAATAAGAAAGCTGCTGTCTACTACTCCAATTTATTTTAATATTTTATATTATTATTTAAAACAAGCCTTTCCTAGGGGCTGCCATTTTGGAAACACTAGTTGTCTGGCTGTTATGTTGATCCATTGCTGACATTTTGAGTCAATAGTGTGAAACAAGTATGCAGGTCAGGAAAGTCTGAAGTTAAATCCAGAGACCATGTAACAGATTAAGCCAACTCTCAGCCCCCTGACATTCTTATAGTTTAGATTTTCAAATTTTTACACATTTTATGACATGAACCCATTTGGGTAGTTACGTAGCACATTCATTACTGCTTATTAACCAATTATGTAGATGCATACCAGTATGGAAATAATGCAAGCTTTATATAAGAAAAGATGAATAAAAGTACATACAGTGCTCAGCATAAATGAGTACATCCCTTTTGAAAAGTAAGATTTTAATCAATATCTCAATAAACACAAGAATAATTTCCAAAATTTTGACAAAACTGAGTTTTATAGAGCATTTGTTTAGCTCATTACATGAAAGAAAGGTTAATAACATAATTTAGATAACAAAATCTTCAATTTTACTCAAATTAGTTGATGCAAAAATGAAGATACCTCGCAACAAAAACTATTACTAGTATTTTGTATGACTTCCATGATTTGCAAGGACAACACCAAGTCTTCTAGGCATGTAATGAACAAGTTGGTGTCATATTGCAAAATCTCTCTTTTTCCATTCCTCGAGAACGACCTCTTTTAGAGCCTGGATGCTGGATGAAGAGTGATGCTCAACTTGTCTCTTCAGAATTCCCCATAGGTGTTTGATTTCAGATCAGGAGGCATACTTGGCCACTGAATCACTTTCACCCTGTTCTTCTTCAGAAATGCAACAGTGGCCATAGATGTGTGTTTTGGATCATTGTCATGTTGGAAAACTGAATGACAACCAAGGGCATGGAGTGATTGTAGCATCATCTCTTTCAATATAGAGCAGTACATCTGTGAATTCATGATACCATCAATGAAATGCAGCTCCCTGACACCAGCAGTACTCATGCAGCCCCACAGAAGGACACTGCCACCATGTTTCACTGTAGGCACCATTTTCTTTGTACTCCTCACCTTTGCGAAGCCATACAATTTTGAAGCCATCAGTTCCAAAAACATTTATTTTGGTCTCATCAATCCAGAGTACAGTCTCAGAAGTCTTCTTCTTTTGCAGCATGGGCCCTGGCAAATTCTAGGCAGGCTTTTTCGTGCATGGGCTTTAGGAGAGGCTTCCTTTGTAGATGACACCCATGCATGCCATTCCTCAGCAGTGTACCCGTATTGTGTCATGGGAAACAATCAACCCAGTTTGGCTTTCTACTTCTTTAGCTAAATATAGTGAACTTGCATGGCCATTTACTTCAACCCTTCTCATCAGAAGACGCTCCTGTCGAGGTATTCAATGGATGGCCTGGACGTCTCTGTGAGATGGTTGCAGTCCCATCTTTGTATCACTTTTACTACAGTATTCTGACTGATAAGTAAAGCTTTGCTGATCCTGTAGCCTTCACCTTTCTTGTGTAAAGAAATTATTTTCTTTCTCTGGGCTTGTGACATTTCTCTTCCATTGCGGTGCCATTGCTGACAGCATGAAATGGGAAGGGGTTTTCTTTGTTAAGTAACACCCTTTTTATAACCAACTGTCTGCCGGATATCTGTTTAATCAATAATTAGACTCACCTGTAGTTGAATTCTTGTCAATTAGGATTTTGTTGTCTAAAATTTAGCTTTGTTCCTAACACTTTCATTGGGGTGGATTCATTTTTTGCAACATGGTGTTGAATGAATAGGTTGAGAAAAATACTTTTGTGTGTGTACAAATGAACAAATCTTGTTTGCAATCAATGGCTTGCATTTGTGGGAGTATTTTGTAGTATAGTGTACCAAGGAAAATGTTGATTCTGAAAGGAAAGTAAAGGTTTTCTGACTAATCTGTTGGGGTCTACTCATTTATGCATCCAATGTACAAAAAGGTATTATCAGCAAAAGGGCCCAACAAGAGTCCTGGTGGAATTATGTACATATACTCAGGTATATACAGTATAGTTATTAATAAACATCCCTTCAGGTGAATGTTGCAGTTTCATTAGAGGCATTGCTGTAGCAAGCAATTATAAGGATTGGTGCATGGGTTATATAAAGGTGAGGTGACTGGATGAAGGATGAGATTCCCTCACAATCCACTGGCTTAGCTAAGCTAAACCCTAACAGAGCAGTGTTTCTCAACCTTTTTTCAGTCAAGGCACCCTTTAAAATTATGGACAGTTCCGGGCACCCTTTAAAATTATGGACAGTCTGGAGGCACCCCATTCTAAAATGTGAAAAACCATTCTAATAGTTTAATATAACGTGGCAACATCCACACATGTAGGACATCCAACATTAGAGGGGATTTATTCTTCCAAAGCAACTGCACTTTTGCACACTAAGTAGTATTCCAGTGTTTCTCTTCTCCATTACCGAGCTAATGTGAATCCAGCACTGACGGAGAGGGGCAGGGGAGGGTAAAACTAGGATGCTGTGAAGGCAGCTGACATCCTCCTTATCAACTGATGATGTCATTGGTTGTCAGGACGCCAGCAGCTAGAAGGTCGTAATGGTGCACAATGAAAACCCGTGGCTTTCTGTAACTAAAAGGTAGGCTTTTTCCGCCTGCTGGCTTGTATACGAGTTTTTATGCAATTTTTAGACATTTTGCCAAGGCACCCCTGAAGAAACCTCAAGGCACCCCGGTGTGCCTGGGCACCCTGGTTGAGAAAGGCTGAAATAGAAGATTGCTTTAAAGTGGAACTCTAGTTATTTTTTCTTTCCTCTTGTGCCTGCCTAGTTAAAAAAAAGTAGCAAAACACTACTTTAACACAAACAGATGTCCTATGACAAAAGCAATAATAAGGCATACCCCCCCTCCCCAACAGTCTTCTGAATTCTGAGAGAATGCCTTATATTTTGATACGAATTCCACAGTCCCACAGATCCAAGAACTGTCCTGCTACATTACCCTGTAGAAATGATAGCCAACATCAATTACTCAACTAGCAGTTTAGTCATTGTACTCTGTTGTTCTAACTTATAACCATTCAGAGTTTCTGATGCTGACATATCGCAGTGGCAGCTCTTTTCTGATTGGCTGCAGTTCCATAGCTTCTGAATGGATACAAGTTAAAGTGATGGAGTACAATTACTAAACAGCTAGCTGGTGTTTTTTAACTGATTCATGGAAATGGCTGCAGACTGAACACAAGAATCCTGCAAACCTGGTGAGAGGAAGAACTGCGGGTGGAGGAGAAGGGTCAGGATGCATGGATAGATGGGGAAGTGAGCAAGCTGTACACACTACACAACACAATTTATTATTTAGAAGTGTTTCTCAGCCCCTGACTGTATCTGTGTATACACGCTGAAGGAGATGCACTGTACTCTGTCACTCTCAGTATCTGTGTACATACAGTATGGGACAGGAGTATACACCCTATGTAGTTTTAAACTCTGTTCAACCATGCTCCTTTAAGTGTGTGCAATCCATCCCAAGGTGTCCCTCATTCTTGGGTTACAAATTTGGGAGGTATGAATAAGCCACATACAGTACATTCCTTGTGAGAAAACTGAAAGAGAAAATAAGTAGCACTACACCACAGTAAGGATGAAACAGGCACTCTTCATTCCCACGCCTCTCAAATAGCCCACATTTTCAGGGATTTGTACACCAATCTCTAAAACAGCCTCTGAAATACCCCACAACCCACCCTCCTCAGATCTCCTTCACATATTATACAATACCTCATCAATAACCATATCTAAACTCCCCGAATCTGAGCTACACTGACTCAGCTCACCAATTGGCAATGAGGAAATCAGTTACACTACTGAAATGTTCCCATCAAAAAAAAGCTCAAGGGCCAGGTGGCCTACCTTATCTTTACGATAAAACATTTCTACCAACCTTAATGCTACACATGGTCAAGTTATTCAGTGATTTTGTTAACAAAATATCTATATCAAAGGGACATGTCAATGTCCTTCATCGTGGTCATTTCCAAACCAAATAAAGACCATACTAAACTACAGGTCAATAACTCTATTGAACCCTGGCTTAAAATATTGAACAGTTTACTAGCTCTTAGATTGAGCAGGATCCTACCCTTGATAATACACCAAGATCAAGTGGACTTTGTGCCAATCAGATAAGCCAGGGATAACACTAGAAAGTAACTGACTTCATTGGTGTGGCCAACGTGAATTAGGGAGAGGCTCTTTACTAAGCCTTAACTTAGAAAAAGCCTTTGCAGGCTAGGCGGGTCTTTTTTGTTCTCCACCCTAAGATATCAGTATTAAGGTCCCCTTCCTGCAGGCCATCACTCTCCACCCTTAGGAATCAGTATTAAAGTTCCACCCCTCCTACAGTCCTCATATGTAACCTCTGGGCCCTCTACCATCTCCAAAGGCACAAGACAATGATGCCCCCATTCTCCTCTTTTGTGAATCCTATGTATAGAACCCCCTAGCAGTCCAAACTGGAAAGAACATCAATAACCTCAGAATCCCAATTAGAAACAGAGTTTATGGATGACATACCCCTGTCTTGAATTTAAACTCATAACTCCTCAACCTTCACAAATCATTGGCCCTTTATGGTTCACTCTCTGGCTATAAAATATACCAACTTTAAAATAGAGGTTGTAACCCTCAATATGTGCCAACAAACACTTTAACATTTATCTGCATGGAAAGCTAGCTTACTGAAATACTTGGGAGTGAAACTAACCCCTGCCTATGACACACTCAACAAAGAAAACTTCCTACTACTGTATTCCTACATTGGAAATGTACCCTCAACTTGGAAAACTTATCACGTTTTCTTCAGTTGCATAGCAACCATCAAAATGACCAGTTTGTTGAAACTATTATAACTCTTTTAGACATTATCCCC